CTTTTTACACCTATACATTTGTAAAACCAAAAAAGTCCTTTTTTAGGTCCCTTGTGTAATATACTCATCCCAAAAAATCAAACATTTAAGTATAAATTCCCAAATCACCACAATTCAGAATTTTATTCCTTTATGGAATATAGAAAATTTAAAATGAAATTTAAAAATAATTTACAAACTTATTTCTCTTTTTTTATAAACAAAATATATTATAAAGGATATAAATATAACCATTTTTAAGTTGAATACAAGAATTGAATTGCAATTCTAAATATTCTATGAAATTTTGAGAAAAATTATAAATTATTTTAATAGTAAATTACAAAATTTTCATTATTTATTTTAACCAATTAAAGTTTTTATATTTAAATTGAAATTAAAAAAAAAAAACAATCAGAGCCATTTAAAAATCTCTTAGCTCAAATTTATTAAGATTTCATTGTATACCACTAATTATTCTAAAAGTAAATATTTAATTGCAAAATTTTTGATCGTAAGTAAAGAATGAAAAATATTTATTTTATTGCAACACTGTACACAAAATTATTTTAAAATAATTATAAAATAAAATTGCATTTTAATTTTTAAGAGTTCTTTGCCTTTTTATTATTAAAAATAATATTTTTATTGTTCCTCTATCGACGATATAAAATATTTTTATAAAACCGTTATATGCAAATATAAAGACAGAAATAAGTGCGAATGCATAGCACAAGAAAAATTAAACAAAAAAAACATCTTGTTAAAAAAAATTTTTAAAAATTAGAGCTCTTTTGCTATTTTCAAATTTTAAAATTCTTTCTGTTTTTTTTCTCTTTTTATTTTTCTTATATATTTTCCTTCTTTTTTACTTGGCACCATAAAAATTTGGTTTGCAATTGAACTTGATCTTGACAATAATTGAATGTTTTTATATTTTTATACTTATAAAAGAAGCACATCTATTAAAAATACATATACATACAAACTTATAAAATTAAAATTATAAAAAAAAAATGCTTTTTAGTTTTCAAAAGAAAATTTTGTTTACACTTTTTATAAAAATTAAAAATCTTATAAAATTTTTAAAAACTTTTAAATAAAAATTTAAATTATTTTAAATTTATTTTTTATTCAGTTTGTAGCTACTTTATGTAAAATTTAAAATCTATCGCGCATCAACTCAAATCAACAACTGATTTTTTTGACATTTGAAAATTTGATTTTATAAGAATTTTTCATTTAAAAAAGTTTATTATTTTTTCTTTTGCTCTTATATTTTATTCGCTTTTCTCATACGGTAAAGCGATGCTAATGACAACAAAAACTACAAAAAATTGAGTAATAACATAATAGTAATAACAAGTAGAACGAAAAACTACATCACTCACCACTACAATACAAAATTAATTGAGAAAATTTAAAATAATAAATAAATATATACGTTATACACCATACGAATTTCCAGACAAGTAAGAACCATTTCGAAAAACGTTGAAGAGAGAAAATTTTACTACATATTATTTTTTAGATTTGTGTTTTTAAGAGGTGCGAAAATATTGTCACATTTTTCGGAATAACCCATTTTTTTTCCATTTTCTTATTCTGTTTTTTGTTTTCTTGTTTTGTAAAATTTAATTATATTATAATAACGTTTTCTTTTTATATGGGAAAGAATTTTTGTCATAGTGTGAATTCAGTTTTTTATAAAATGGTACAAATTTTGTTTTTCGCAAATTGACGTATTAATTGCGTTGTTAATTTTTAAAAATTTTTAAAAAAAATTTATTTAAAAAAAAAATAATATAAATTACTTTTAAGAAACAAAATTCAAATTTAAAAAGTTTTCATGTTTTCCGCCAAAATATTACGGCTTTTAAATTAAAATTAAAATGTGAATATTGGTTTATGTAATTTGTTCGTTTTGTAACCCAATGTTATAAATTTTTATTTACACATGCTCATAAAAATTACAGAAGATATATTTTCAAAATGCAACATTGTAAATTATGCACAATTACATATTCTTGACATTAAATGAGCAAATAAAATAAACCCAATTAAAGTGCGCATAAACATTAATGTAATTGTATATAATAATATTATCTGTACTAATTTTACTTATTAATTATAATAATATATCTGTAAAAAACACCTCAACACTGACTCAGTTTTTTAATATATTTAAATATAATTTAAAACAGAAAATTATCTTGCTGACTGGTGCATGAACAAAATAATGACATAAATAATCGAAGTAAAATACAATAAGCCAATAAATATTTTAAATTTAAAATTATCTGTATAGAAAATTATCACCAATAAATTTTGCAGATTGAATATTAATATTTTTTACACAGCATCATTCCTTTCCAAGTATTTTCGTTTATTTTATTTAGTTTTAAAATCAAAAATAAAAATTTCAAGTAATTCATAATTTAATTAATATAATTTTTAATTAATATTTTTAATTTTAATTAATGCGTATTTTATATTTATAAAACAAATTAATAATTTTCTTATTAAAATGGTAAATTTACACTAACAAATTTGGCAAGCTGAAAGCAAATTATTTTATTAGGTAATAGAACGAGTCAAAATTTCTCGCTGGAAGAAAAAAAAACGTTGAATTTTTTTTGAGTTACACAATCCTGTAACGTACTTATTTACTATTATGAATGATTTATGAAATTTGGTGTGATTAGCTCAATTAGTTTATGAGTTATCATTGAGATGGACGGACATATACATGGTTAAATCGACTCAAAGTTCGACGCTGTTCAAGACCATATACTTATATCTATATTTCAGACCATTATTTCTTAACGTTACAAACGGTAAGGCAAATTTATTATATCCTTCGAACATACGTTCATACTGGTGTAAAGAATAATCGCTAGAGTATACACATACATATGTATAAGTTTGTTCTTATTTAGCACAGTAATGTCCGAGTTAACATTATGATGAGCTTTAAAATATGTTTATCGCGTTTGAATAAATATTTCTCAATGGCATTTCAATTTTTTGTAAAAATAAGAAATTTGTTAAGAATTTACAAAAAGAATTTGGTATCACATCTACTAAAATCTATATATACAAATGATAAACTTAAAAAAAAAACATGTATCATCTACATCTAAAGTTGAATAATAAAATTAATTTAAAATATTCTTTTTTGATTCCTCTGGCGTAATTTATAGAACGTCCTTACTCTCTAACTAAAAGTTAGGACTGTTTGAAAAAAACTTTATTACCCTTAATAAAAATTCTTCAATATCAATGAAGTTATGTTTTCCGAGGTGTTGCTGTAGCTTGCACGATCTGGTATATATCTATTAATATCTAGAATGTTTATAAATTGTATGTTATTATCTCACACACGAATTTCAACCGACTGCATTATTTATACAGCGCGAAATTTTGTTCATTTAGCCAAAAAAAAAAAAATTCTTTTACTTCTCTTATTTTATAAATTTATTTTTCGCTCTTGTTTTTTTGTTTTAGTCTTAAGTAAATGACGCGTTTATTATATTGATAAGTCATTTTCCTACTGATATATGTAAACTACAGAAAAAAGCAATAACCAAACATTTTAATGCAAAAAAGTTTGCAAAGATGTTTATTTGATGAATTTCGATATTTTAAATACAAAAGGGAAAAAGAGATGAATAAGAGATTAAAAATGATATACATTTCTCACTTCAATTTCTTTCATAAGAATAAGTAGTCCTTGTCATAATTTTTCTTTGTTCTTCTTTACATTTTCCTTACCGCAAAAGTACAGTAAATTATTTCACTAAAAACCTATCGTGTCTTTTGCAAACAAAGAGCAAAGTTTTTTAAAAAAATTTGAAAAGTCGAAAATTGCACATCAACAATTATTATAAAAAATAATAAAGATTTATTAATATCTTATTTTTCAGATTCCTTAAATCAACATACAAATCAAAATTGATGCATCTGATCCATTGTAATTTTTATTTAATAGCAGCAAAATATTAGCAACGATTTTTGTAAGGCCGGCAATTTATTACGGGAAGTATGACTGTATGAGAGCTTATTATATTAGCACTACATAGTGGTTCGTAAAAGAATTATATAGATAAATTTATAGGTATGTTAATTTTGTTATTATAAATAGATTTCACACAAAAAATTTTTATTTTCAGGTGTGTTTTTCTAATTTCCAAACAAAAAAATATTAGTGATATTAATGTTAACAGTTGATTGAAAACAAAATAAATTACTACATATAAAAAAATTATAAAGTGAACATTTACTTCCTTAAATATAAGAAATAATTTATATTTTTAATTTCTATAAAATTTTATTTCAAACTAATTTTGATTATAGTATGTGGTAACTGTACAACTAGTTTACAAAGTACAACTAAACAATTTTTTTTTAAACATTTATTTTTTATATAAATTTAAAAAATATTCATTATTAACTTTTTAAAATATTCTAAATTATAAATTCATATTTACAATAAAATACTCAAATAAAATCTTACTTGTTAAAAGAATTTTATAATTGCTTAAAACTGATTATTTTACATAAAATATAAAAAATCAAAAATACATAAAAGCAACACTTCGTAAATTACGCTCTTTTACAAATTCTAAAATCTCTTAATTATTAAAAAATTAATTTACCGTCAAACAACAAGTTTTGTCATAAAAAAATTTAGATTTTTATACAATTTGATTAAAATAACAACTTTAGCTAAATGTTATAAAATTAAATTATTATTGTGAGAGAATTATATTCGTATTAAATTAAATAGATCACATTTACTTCAAATTATATTATTATAAAAACAAAGTATTGCATTTTATCTTTCCATTCTATAATAATGGTAGCTATAAAATCTCAATGATAAAATTGCAATATTATTGCATAACATCATGTATACATTATGTATGTAGTAAGTTTCATTAAATTTGATCTACATACACATATGTATATACAGCAACATACTGCATATGTATCACTGTTAAAGAAGTTATTTTACCTACCTTTTAACTTCAATTTTAATTTAAATTTTAAATTTTTTTTGGTTTTCATAAGAATTTCATTCCGTCTTTTACATAATGGCCATTTAATATTTGAATGACTGAACCTGCAAATAGCAAAATAAAATTTATGTTTTTAAAAAGTTTCATAAAATTATATTTTAAAAATGGTTTTAGTAATATTAGCTATATAAGTATATAAAAAAACAACAATATGGCTATATGAGAATTCATCCTGAAAGCATGCAATTTTTCTTAAACTTGTTTTCTAATCTACGTCATTATAAATTTTGATTTACATTAGATCACTTCTGTTTTATTTTATAAAATATTTTTTATGGAATATCAAAACACACTTTTAAAATTTATCTAAATTAAATAACAACAATATTTTTGCAATAATTTCATTTAAATTATTATATTCTTAATGGACACGGTATATTTTATCAAATGGTACGAGTATATACAGAGTGCACAAATTCTACAAAATCAACATAATCGATCAAGATTAAATTTATACAACATGTTTTTTATAATGTATGTAAAACATTTTTATAATTAAATTTTACTATAAAATTTTCTATACCAAAACGTTTTTATTAAATATTTAAAATATAGGGCAAAATAAACTAAAAATTTTGTAGTATTGTGTATACCTATAAATAAAAAATTTTACATACTTGTTTTAAGTTATAATAGTAAATATTACGAGCCTCTGGGTTTTTATAATCTTAACTTTATGACAAACCAGAGACAACCCACACAATAAAAACACAGAAATTGTGCAACACCGCAATATACTAACGAGACTCAAAACGGCCAAAAAAAATTTCCAACTTAAAATAAATTTACTTATACCATAAAAAATTAAAAAAAAAGGAAATATATTGTAACGCTAAATTAATACCATGGTAACTTTTCTTATATAAATATAATATAAAAACAATAACAAGAGCAAACAAAATAAGATTGAACTGGATGATGAGAGGTGTGCAAATAACACATTTAATTATGATGACAGTATCGTTAATTCATTGTTATTACATATACATATATTTATATATGTACGTATACACATAGCTGTATATTGGACTGCTGACATGAATTATTGTACCCAAATGAAAATATATTTTAATTAAACAGGATTATTTTTTTGATATTTTTCTGATTATTATTTTTTATTTTTTTTTAATCATTTAATTTATTATTCTTTTTATATCCCTTAACATATACATATGTGTTTATATACATATGAATACTAAAAATAGTAAAAATTCTATATATATTTGGATGTATGTATAAGTATATAATTATTATGCCACCTATAAATAATATTTATAGATTTAATTATCAAAAAATATATAAATATTAAATTGGTTTCTTTCTTTAAATGTGATAATTTTGGAAAGGACTTAAACAAATCAATATAGAGATTATGTTCGAGTTTTGTTTTTGCTTTTTAATTAAATAAATAAATATTAAATTTTATTCTTAATTTACTTAATTTCATAAATGATATTTATTTTCTTTTTAAAATTTATTTAAGAAAGCAAATTTCATTTTGAATACAACAAATTGTGGTCGGTTGTCTACTTTGTGAATAATATTCACTATCTAAATTTTTCAAATCACATTTTTTTATGTATATATAGAAACTTAAAAATTGGCAGTTTAATTAATTAATTTTATAAGTAACTCTTTTTATTAACTTAGCTCAAATAAATTTAAATCTATCTTTAACCATGAATTCTAATAACTTTTATTACTAACAATTTAAGTTAAAATAATAAAATTTAATTTAATTTGATTTCATTTAAAAATTTAAGTAGTACTATTCGATGTTTATTAAAATGCACATCCACATACATATCATAAACTTGTTGTTTTTCATTTACATTTTTTTGTATTTTTTCATGAAAATATAACCGCAGGATCCTTTTAAAATAAAAAGCAAATCTTCCTATTTATTATTTTTCTTTTAACTTTTTCCAAACTAAAAAAAATATTTCATCGTATTGATAATTACCTTTATAAAATAGGTAAAAACTTTTTAAGCATACCTTTTAACCATTTTTTTTTATTATGATTTATTTCGAAGGAGAAGACTAACTTGGTTTTAAGTAAAATTTTTAAAATTTTGCAATACATACAAATAAAGTTATTCAAATTTCTAATTATTTAGCAAAACAAAATTCAAATTTCTAATTATTAGTAATCTCAACTCACAAGTGTAATATTTTAAAAGCTTGTATGAAAATTGTTAAAAATATAGTGAATTGTTAAATAGCGAATCGTTAATTCATTACAACTATTTTAAGAAAAACTTACAATTAGCATTCCCAAATTACCCACTATTGATTTTGGGTGCTAATTATTATATAAAAACCGTATTTTTTTCAAGAATCATTTATTCTCTCCCATGTTGCAAGGAAAATTCTAAGGAAAATAGATTAAGTACATTAAATATTCATTTATGAAAAAAATTAAAACTATAAGAGAATTTTTAAATTTTTATTTTTATGCAAACAATTTCTTTACAACTTGGACAGACAAACTTTTTTATACAATATTAACAAAATTAAGTTAAGCATTTCGTAAAACAAAATTTATTTCAAAATATATAAAACAGGATTTCAAATTACTACTGCAATAAAACCAAATAACAACAATAATGATAACAAAAACCAGATTGCACTTAATAATTAAGCGTATCCTTCCTTTTAGCGTTATTCTAACAGTCATACTTTGTATACTTATACATATATGTTTGTTATTATATAACATTGTATATGTGTATATTGGTATATTGTTTTATGTATATTTTTGATAGTAGAAAAAATTCACTGCATGCGATGTCATTATAACTTCAATTTCAAAAATTTACTTTATTCTGTAAATATTAATGTAGGTGTTTTTATATACTTGCATTTCATGTTTTAAAAATGAAACGATGATTTTTTGTTTGTGTAAAGGATTTATGTACATATATATATCCATATATTATTTTACAAATAGTTCTTATATATGTTACATTTAGGTACTTATATACATAATATACATATCAAAATTTTATGTAAAATAAAATAAATACTATCTCAAGCAAGCTATTGTATCCTTTTAAAATAAATATTCTACTGGATTTCTAAAAACGAACCTTATATATCCGTTCTTAATATGCATATATTATGTATAAATGTACAAATAAGCTTATATAAATCCAAAGTTGAATTTATTTTCAACATTTTCAGATATGATTTAATTTATCTTATTAAAAATTTTATTATTTTATAGCGTAGAAAAGAGATAGCTATTTATAATCAACAAAATTTCATATTGTAAATGAGAGATTTTTAGTATAACATTTTATTTAATTGTTATACTTTAAAAACTTGAACTGAATTTTAAATGTAATGAATTAATGTATGTATATATTTTTAATTAAGAATTTTCAAAAATCTTACGAGGTGAGTTCTTTTGATCAATTTCGAAACTTTAAACACGATGGTATGTAATTTCAATATACATATCATCGTGTTTCATATTTTATAGCTTTTTCATCAAATTCTTATTTTTCCAATTCAAATAATCAAAATTGGTATTCAGATGAGGATTTGAATTTGCAGAGTAAAAGTTAAAAGAAATATAGGATGTCGAGAGAATTTTCGAAACAATGCGTATATAGTTACAATGAATCTATACATGATCCAAAATATATTTATGAAAATCAAGAATTAAATACTCATATGCCAATATTACCTAGTTTAGAACTAAGACTCATTTATTCAAAACTGCGTTACTTGTAAATAAAAATTTCATTTACATAAAATCAACTATCAGCTATAACAGCATTTGTAAAATTAATTCATCTCTTAACTATTATGGTGCATAGAAGAAAAACCACTAGATTCGTTCTCTTATTTAATTTTTATTTCTTGTTTTTTATCATAAATTTTTTTTATATTCTTATACACTTACACATACAATTGTATATGGTCTTCTAAAATGTGAACTGTTTACTAAAAGAAACTTATCTCGGTAGCGCAATAAAACAGTTCCGGATATGAGAATCCTGAAATAAAATATGTAAAAACACTTAAATATGTGCATGCACTAAAAAAAATCACTTTATTCACATTTCCGTTTTTTTCTGTTGATTTTCTTTTGAATTTTAGCTTTTTATATGACATTCGAGTGCAAGTGAATAATTTTTTTTTTTTGCTAAGTCCTAAACCCTTTTTCTTTCATTTTGTTGTTTTATTTTTTCTCTCTTTGTCGTAACAAAATACTTTACTATGTTACAGTCTACAAAATACTTTTCTAATCTTTGTGTACAAGTTAAATTTCTATACGTGCATTTTATATGATGGATTTTGGTACTTATTTTTAAAATCCTGCACAAATCATATCGTGACCAGATTTTAAGTTGTAAAGCGTATATAGTTCAAATGTAGAACAGAATTTCAAATATTTAAAATGCGGGTAAAATGTATGCATGATTGTATGTAGCTATAGAAAATTTAAAAGACTTATTATTGCAATTGTATAAGTGTTTTCATATAATTTAATAATAACTTTGTTTAATAATAGTATTAAATTCAATCTGTTTTGGTAAAATGGAAATGCATAGATGTTTACACATCATTCCACTTGAATAATTTCTTGAGAAGCATACCAGTAAAATTAGTTTCTGTAAAGTTTCTCTATTTAATTAATTACAATATTGCATTTTGATATTACAATTGCCTTATCTGATGTGACATTGACTTACGATTTTATTTATCAAATTTAGAAAAAAATATTTATTATCAATTTATGAAAATTAAATCTCAATTATTCGATAAAAAATTTACGGGAGCACTCATAAACATGAAATGCTTAAATTAAAAAAAAATAAAAATAAAAAAAAGAAAATTTTTAAAAGGTTTTGTACATATAAAAAAATCAGTTCGCCAAACCCTTAACAACAATGGTAACATAATATGTTTTCTTTATAAAAATTGATGATTTTAGAATAATATTATAATGGTATAATTCATATGCAAACTAAACCTATATTAAAAAAAATGGATAAAATCTACAGAATTCTCAAATTCTTAAAGATTATATT